AGGTTGATGTATTATCAAAATGGGGGTTTTTGAGTAAATGTCAAACCGCATCCTGTTTTGCTAAAATTCAACTGCTGTTCCCTTAAAGAGATATTTTTCAAACACATTTTGGCACATAACCTGCTCTCATTCCGAGGTACCATTTTCTGTTGAGGCCTTCAGAGACATTTTCCCCTGCTGCTGACTCTATACTAGACCAAAACTCCATTCAGGCTCTCCACTTTATGCCTCCTACTCCTTCTGCCTTTCTATTGCATTCTCAGATATTCTGCTTCCAAAGCTCCCCAAGCACTCCTCTACCTTGGTCTTCATTATTTCTACATCTGTTTAGGAAAACAGCAGTGCCTGCCAGCAAAAACAAACACAGGACACATTGAGGAACATATACAAAAGTAATACCTCTCTTTGCATAAACAGGTGTATATGTAGACAAACAAATTCCCTGTCAAGAGGGGAAAACATGAAGGGTTTAAATTTCTATTGAAGATACTGCAATCCAAAAAAAAAAAAAAAATAGAAGAAAAAAAAAAGAAGATATTATTTAAGCCCAGATGTGTATCAGCCCCTCTTTTAACGTGCTCTGTTTGCACAATCATTTGTGTAATAGAGGGGGTGTGTGGGAATGAGAATTACATGGCTTGTAGCAAGCTTGGAGAAGAACAAGATTGGATTCCTGTGCTTGGTCTCAATTTCCAAGGACTGACAGATATGAGTTCAGTGTAGGAATATTCTTTTTATTACAGAATCGTAAAGGAAGTCTCTGTTATTTGCCATATTTTTTTCCTACAAAGAACTGTTTAGTTGTGTCACTCCTTCAAAATGCAGCTTGTCTGCTCCAAAACACCTATCCTCAAGTTTATCCTTCATTCACTTTGACCAAATTCTGCCATAACCACTATGCAAATCTATGTGTGAGGTCAAGATTGATCTGCGTTTTTTTGACAGGCTTGATCAATGCAGCCATTTCCACCAAATATCCTTAGAAATTATATTCATCTTAATGTGTTACAGACTGAGATGAAATTATTTTTTAATATTGCATTCTACTGTGCTCTAGTCTGTTCTAACTTCATAGAACATGAAGTATAAGGCATCTTGGGAAAAGAACTCATAATCTGAATCCAAAGACTTCTTTTTGTTTATCTTTGTCACACTCCCTGAAATGTGCCCCTTGCACAGCCTTCTCATGAGTCCCACTTGCTGAGAACTGTTACTTTTCTTTCTTCTCCAAAATACTGGACATTGGCACAAGACAGCCTCATAGGGTAATATCAAAACTACTCACACCTATCCTGGGTTAATGTTCAGTGATAATCATGTTGAATCATTAATTATTTTTTTTTCAGAATAATAGCCAAATGATAGCATAAAAGCAGTCCTCATTTTTCTTTAGTAGTAAAGCACTTTAGTGTCTGGTGCTGTAGTTTGACATCAATATCATCACAATTTTTAGGAATCATTATACATACTGTAATATCCAGTCTCTTTCATTTGAACCCGCTCTTATTTTCTTTCCCTCCAGCCTCCACACCTTTTGGCAGTTCCTCATGAATACATTTTACATCCTTCCTAGTCTTTCTGCCTTTTCCTTTCATGGACATACATTCAATTTGGATAGAACAGTGGGAGATAGACTGCAAAAATAAGAGGGAATCATAATGATTAGCTCATTCCATAAGTAATTTAATTTTGTGACAAAGACTTGGTCAGTCACACAGTTCATTTCTTCTGGAGGACAGCCAGTAGACTGAGCACATGCTGAATAAAGTCTTTGGGAGTTCTGCATTGTAGAGGTGGCATATATTCTTCCAGAATGCACTTATCTGACTTTAGGTCTCTTCTTCTTTGGTCTTGTCTCAACCTTCTCATTCCCTTCAGTTTATTCCATTAAGGTTGCCTGATTGCTAGCTTTCTTCACAGTTTTATTAATCTGTTATTTTTAACACTAAAATGTCCTATTCACAGGGCAAATTCAGTAACTGGTGAATTTGTCACCTTCTTCTTCACAGTCCTTTCTGTCTCCTTATTTCTTAACTTGTCTTTGCTGAAGCATCATCTTTAGCTTAGTGAAGCTCTGCTGACTTCTCCTTTTTTTTCCTTGCCTAGAACAGTGAGAGATGTTCCTTATTCAAAATATGTTATTACTTCTGACCTTCATATGAAATTTGCCTGAGAAGCTTGTTCAATCTTTCTATTTCCTAATCTACCATACCCAGAATAGCCACTCCTGAAATACTCCCCACCCCTGAAAAGAGCTGTACTAGCCCCTGGAGATGTAGTATGCTACTTCACTTAAGTAATGTCTACTGTGTTGAAATACTAGGACCACTGGGAAGATCCTGTTTATCCTCCCCTTGCAGTCCTTCACTTTCATTACTTTCCTTTCTTTAAAGCTTAAAAAAAATAAATCTTCATTTAATCTGTTTTGATGTTAAGCATCCTCTTTGCCATGACCTTACAAATATTGCTTTTAGGCATAGGATTTAGCAAAACATTGACTGGTAAACATTGCAGACAATGACTTTTCTTTTTTTAGGCAAGTTGTCATATATCCTACCTTTTTGCAGTCCAGCAGACTGAAGTATAATCACATAGCCTGACATTTGCCCTCACTCCTTACTTAATTCTGCAGAATTTGGAATCACCTAATGGTAAATCCCTTACCCATGGACATTCCTTCCTGTAATGTGTGTAACAATTGGGTGTCTAACTCACAAACTCTGTTTTCTCCTCTCCCATAATTAATGTTCTGCTTGCCTCAAGTGAGGAAGGACACAAAACTAGGTGTACTTTTCAAGTACTTTTAAAGGCTTATCATAGCCACCAGAAAGATTTTCTACTGTATACATTTCATGTGAGATGTTGTTTCAGATATGAAAAGGCTGGCTCCCACAGGAAGCTCAGTACCTCTGGCATGTGTTAACAAAAATGTTTGTCAAGGAAGGTGCAAGAAAAGCTGAGATGCACTCAGCTTTGCTGTCAGACTTATTACTCAGAGTAGCCACCGTGGTCTGTTGTCTGAATTTGAGAGAGAAACAATAGGAAAATAATAGTGTATATCTGTTGTAACAGTTAAGGTTTTGAAGGGTCAAGGATGAAGAAGCCTTCATTAACTCCTTGGTTCCCTCTCTCATCACCTTCCCATCTTCTGTGATCTAGGAAACTTTGGGCATGGGAATTCATCAAATGCGAGGAGTATGGAGTTGTTTATTTTCTGTTCACAGGACCCTGGAATACTGACTTGTGCCAACAGACAATGTTCCCCTATTCCATGCCCCACTTGGCACTGAAATTGCTCACCAACCTTTTTTCCTTCCTTCACTCTAGATTATATGCTTCATCCTTTTTTTTCAAATGCTATTTCCTAAGTATAATAGTCCCTTGTTTTGATTTTCAGACAGCAGTTCCTTGTCATCAACCCTCCTTCTCCTCCTCAAATACATAATTAGAGGTTTAATTTGTCCCTTAGTCTATTTTTCTATTCCGGAATAGAGTGTTAGTGTCTTGATCTGCAAGTTAGCTTATGACTTTTGCTCCAAGAATTAAAACACCTTATTTGTTCTTCTAGGGGCTTCCCTAGAACATGTCTGTGTTTCTCTTTGGGTTTTTTCCCTTCTTCTGCATTGTTGTCTATTTTCTTGAATCTTTCAAAAGCAAAAATGACCTAGTATTTTACAATGTTCGGGGCAAACATGGCAAGAAATATTTATGAAAACAACAATTGCAACTGGAAGACTGATCATCAACCGATCATCTCTCTCACTAATACACAGAGGAACTTAAACATGACTTGACTCAAATAGAAAATATAACTATAAAAAGAAATAACTGAAAGGAAAATTGTTTCTGGGTTTCCTTTGTTTTATTTCAAACATACTTGGTAAATAACGTTTTATTAATCGTAATAGTCAGCTTGGTTTCTCCTCCAAACTGCAGTGGTTCTGTGTAAGCACAGATAAAAATTATTGCCTAAATTTGTAAAAGCTTACAGATAGGTGTCCAAATGGCCAAGATTATTTCTCTGTGCTTAGTTTGTGTAATGGAGAAATCAACTCAAATTTCCTTCTTAATAGTGGTGCAAATGCTAAGACTTTTTGTGAATTACTGAGGGACAATTAAATTGTTTGGTTGAGGATAACAAAAAGTGTTTCATAGAATCATAAAATCACAGAATTGTTTGGGTTGGAAGGGACCTTAAAGATCACCTAGTTCCAAACCCCCTGCCATGGGCAGGGACACCTTCCACTAGACCAGGCTGTCCACATCTTGTGAATGTGAGACCCATAAACACATTTTTGAAAAAAGTATTTTCAGGAAACAGTTCTCCATTTTGTTTGAAACAGCCATAAGACTACATAAATAATTTCTGTAATCATTTTTCAATATAGTATTTTCTCTTGTTTTGAAGTGGTTAGAGGAGATTAAAGGAGTTACATGTACAGAGCAGGAAAAATAACTCTATTCTATAGGATTATACTCATCTATCCCCTAGCACTTAGATATAACTTTTTTTCCTTTAATGACATTAAAAAAGATATGCCACCTTCTTCTCAAACCTGTCATCAGATCCTTTTGAAACAAACACATTAACTGTCAGGCAACCTTTAATCTCTTCACAAAATTTTTCTTCACTAACACAATGAGTGTGGTGCCATCACGAAGCTAATCTCAAGTAAGAATACAGCGAGAGAGAAAGCAGCTACCATGCCTCTCCTGAGAGAGTGTCACTTTTCTTCTGGTTAGAGTTCTGTTTCCTTATGCATCTGTTTTGTCTAGAAATTAGCCACTGGAGCGTGCAAGCCTCTAAAGCCTGCAGTGTTGGCACACAGTCTAAGTACGGGATGAGTCGTCTTCTGTTCCCATAACAGATACATTATTCCTATAAAGATTGTCAGTGAATGATCTTTAATGTGAGTTCCTTATGACACCACTCATCACTGAAAGTTGTGTGGTAGGACATTATTACTACAAAAGATCAAATTAAAAAACAACCACTGATGTTTTTTCAATGGAAAAGAAGCTAAAAATTTATTCCTAAATCAAGGAGTTGAGTTCTCAGCCTCTGAGCATTAAGAAGGTGCTAGTTTTAAACATATGAGACAATACAATATGATAATATATGATATGGAAGAACAGGAAAAATCCAGCAGCGAGTACAACAAAGTGGAGAACAGGAGCAGGACAAAGAATCATCAAAAAATATTTAGAAGTTCTTAGAAGCATAGATCCTTTGTTATGGAAAGGTAGAGGGTATAATTTGTTGTGTTTCTGCTGACGTGATGAAGAGGGGTCTTCATTCATTCTTTATACAACTTGCCACCTACCTAATTGAAAACAAAACAGAATAAAAATATTTTAAAAAATGATAATAACAATAACAACAACAACCACCGAGCAAAAGAGACAAATATAGGAGTTGGCTGGATGACCATGCCCAGAGAGTTACCATCAATGGTTCAATGTCCAAGTTGTAAACAGTAATGAATGGTTTCCCTCAAGGGCCTGTACTGGGACCAACACCATTTAATACCTTCATCAATGTGTCATTGATACTGGGATCGAGTGCACCCTCAGCAAGTTCACAGATGACACCAAGCTGAGTGGAAGTTGATATGCTTGAAGGAATCAGAGTTGTCATCCAGAGGGACCTGGACAGACTTAAAGAGTGGGCCCATGTGAACCCTGCAGCCACCAGGATCAGTACAAACTGGAGGATGAATGGCTTGAGAGCAGCCCTGTGGTAAAGGAATTTGGGATACTGGTGGATGAAAAATTGTATGTCACCCAGCTGTGGGTACTCACAGTCCGAACAGCCAACCATATCCTGGGCTACATCAAAAGCCCAATCTGGCCAGCAGGTCAAGGGAAGTGATTCTGCCCCCTTTGCTCTGCTCTCACGTGACCCCACTGACCCCACCTGGAGTACTGTGTCCATCTCTGGACATGTTAAAGCAGATCCAGAGGAGTGTCACAAAAAATTGTCAGAGGGCTTGTATGAAGACAGACTGAGAGAACAACCCCATCTTCAGAAGGGAGAAGAGAAACCTCTGGGGAGACATTCTTGAGGTCTTTCAGTATACAAGAGGACTTTTAAGAAAAACAGAGACGTTTCACCAAGGTGTCCAGTGACAGGACAAGAGGCACTGGTTTAAAATGGATACAAGGTAGCTTTAGATTAAAGGATGAAATTTGTTATCGTAAGGGTGGTGAGACAGTGGGACAGGTTGCCCAGAAAAGCTCTGGATGTCCCATACCTGGAAGTGTTCAAGGCTAGGTTGGACAGGGCTTTAAAAAATATGGTCTAGTGAAAGATGTTGCTATCCATGGCAGGGGGGTTGGAACTAGATGATCTTTAAAGGTTCTTTCTGGCCTAAACCATCCTGTGATTCTATGATTGTGATCCAGTAAAATACACATCCACTCCCTCTGGTATCCTTGGAAAAGGTCCAAAAATATAACTGAGATTGTGTTCATACTTGCCCTCAACTCTGCCAGGTCACTTTTCAAATACATCTCCCTGTCCTGCTTTTAAAGGGACAAGTGCTGAGGCTTCCCCTGTTCTCACTGGGTACATCTTTCAGTCATATGATAAACTTACTAACAAAAAGTATTTTCTGGCAGTTAGTTCAACTTCTCCCATTTGTTCAGATTTATCCCACAATTCTTTGTAAATTTTTGTAAATATTTGTTCAGATTTATCCTCTGTATCACTTCAAAAAACCTGCTTGTTATTTTCAGGCATAAGTCCCTTTTTAATGGTTACAGAAAAGTATGATATATCTCATATTTCCCTTCTTTACTTTCTACAGAATTTGTCCTTAAGTCTTATCTTTTTCATGTGTTTAAAGAGTATTTTGAGAAGGAATTTCTCTGCTAGACAGCACTGATTTTATCTGAGTTCTGGAAAAACAGGAATAGAAAACTCATCTCTTGTGATTTTTCAAACTAGACTAGTTTGAAAAATCAAGGCAGATCACATGCAGAAAAACCATAGGTTTGAGGATAGATCCAGGCTGCATCCACTGATCCTTGACTAGTGAGTAAGCTCAGCCTTCTAGCTTACCTTGGCTCTCCACAACAGACTGCTCACCAAAACTGCATAGATCAAGGCTTTGCCACAGAGAATGAGGTAAGTGAGCTTCACAGAATTTCCATACCGCAAGTACGAATCTGCAAAGAAAGCATCATTTATGTATTGAATTGTCATCATCACGAGATACTAGATCTAATGTAGTTTTAATCAAATATGAACCCTTGAAATCTTTAGCTAAGTGACATAACGGAACTAGAGCCAAATGAATGTTTCTGTTGACACCAGATAGCAGGTGATGGGAAAGAACATAGTGATCCAAAGAACCAAAAGAGAAAGCAAACCTAGGAAAGAACAGAGACTGGTTTTATGCTAAGAAAGTACTATGTTGCCACACCTACTGAAAAAGTAGGCTGTTCATCTGAATTCCCTCTTAGGAACACAAAATAAGCTGAATCACAAGATACGAATTTTTTTTCTCTCATTACTGTCAGTGGCCTTATGAGTGCTGCTGACATATCAGGAGAGTTTTATACAGCCCAGAATAACATGGTATCTAGAAGTTTATTCTTGTAGACTTTTTGCTCTTAAGGAGTTGCAGTAGTATTGAGATACCACCTCAATGTTGGTTCAGCCTTAAGATTCCTGAAACATTAAAGATGTTAGTGAAAAACAGGAGAGAGTAAATACGTATACATAAAGGAAAGAAATGTAATCTGTAATCTGGATATCCTCTCTATATAACTCCAGTTTGGAGGGGGATGTGACTTGCCATCAGAAGTATGTTGAATTTTATATAGGAAATATTCAGAATTTTGGATTCTCAATCTTCATGTCATAATTGCTTGGATAAGTAGGAATCATTTATTTCATGGCTGAGCAAGAATCTTCCCAGCAGAAGGTGGTGTTAAGGACAGGAGGAGACGATAAAGAGCAAATTACACTACAGGAAGGTTCCAGTATTTCTCCTGTGTTTTCAAAAGGGAACCATAAGGAAGAGCTAAAACCCAACACCATTGCTACATACAGTATGCACAAACAACCCTCTCAAAGTCTTTTCTTCCTTTTTTCTTTTTTTTTAATCTAACATACAAATCACTTAGATGAGAAAGCAGAAGCTATTCATGCAGTAGAAATCTTACACACCTTGTACTTAGTGCCAGTAAAACTGGAATTCAAATACGTACAGATATTTGCCTGTGAGAAGACACACATACCTTCTGTAACTGCACAGCCTGAAAGACAAAAATAAACTGAAAGTCATGTTTCTTTTCAAATCAAACAGACCATAAATTTTAGAAGTTTCAGTTTACAAAACGCTGCCTAATTCATTATAATTCATTAATTCAATAAATTCATTATACTATAATATATATATTATTATACTATATATTTTACTATACTACTGAGATTTCTCAGTGAAAAGCTGAAGAAACTATAAATGTATAATGCTAATGTAGATAGAGAGGCCCAGGAATATGAAGAGACATATGCTAATACCTGCATATTTAAATATATATTTTGCCATAACAACACCCTGGATAGAAGTTTTACAAAGGTGTGTTTCATATCCTAGCACACACACTTTTGATTTGTGATTTCTAGTTTGTACAGCATGGTGATACACATTTTTTACTCACCAGCATCACCAGAGATAACTTTGTGTATGGATTCCTCTTTTCCATTCTGAAAAAAATTGGCAACACACTCAAAATTATTCAAAGGGTTGAACCATTCCCAGGCTGGGATCCTCAGTCGGCTGGTCAGCGAGTAGGTACTCCCATTCTGTGTGGAGAATTCGTCTGTCCCCACTCCTTTTGTCCTTTTAACATCATTTACCATCCAGACCAGAGTCAGGTGGTCAGGGTAGAAACCAGAGGCCAGGCACACCAGTGTGGCCTTATTCTTCTGCTGGATTTCCTGCTTTGATGGGAAAAAGATGGCCACAGATGGAGGTATGATTTCCTTATCCTTCTCTGAAACAGAAAGCAATATGGCCCAGAGCCTCCATTACTCCATTCGATCAGAAACTCCTTAAAATTGTACCGTGTTTGTGTTATGTTACTCCTGATATACCTGGCCTTTTAACAACTGTCTATTAGAGAACTAATATCTATTAGATATTGGACACTGGGAAACTGAAAACAATTATTTTCCTTTAATACACAGAAATATAAAAGGTCTGGCTACAGAAATGCATAAGTCTTTGAATTTCTAGTATTACCTCTGTCAGAAGAATAAGAGGGTTGGAAAGAAGCTGAGGAAAGAGGTGGGCAGAAAAGTACCCAGTTATGGTGTAAGGCCTGTATCTGTAGTATTGTATTAATAGATAAGGGAGTCTGTTCTAAGCCACAAGCATCTTCAAGGGACTGAGCTACATTCCTGAAGATGTAGCTAAGACATGATGGTCATTGCAGTGTTCAGAATTATACTGTCATGTGGTACCCTACTTGGACCCTCTAGGTGACTTGAAAGGAAAGAGCTAATCTTTCTCACTGTCTGAAGTGAATGTTTGAGGTAGGTAATATGAATCAGCCTGGGACAAGTTTTGCTTTGGGTCTTAACTTGTCATCCTATTTTAAGACTAATAAATATCTCTTCATGCAATTTTTTGTTTAGGTTATCCTAGGTATGAGAAGCCCTCATCCTAGACTACACACCTTCACAAAATGATGCCAGATTCTATACACTACAAACCAAAAGTTGTCTCCTGTCCTATAGTGTTTAAAACCTACATGTAAGGCTAATGGGAACAGATTTTAGTCAAAAGGATGTACAAGGCAGCAATGAGAAGTTGCTCAGAAGCTAGCCACTGACGCTAAAAGCCATTTTTTCCCCAATATACTGAGTAGAATGCCTTTTTTACTCATCTAGTATGATAAACCCAACAGGTCTGCAGAATGCTTGTGGAAACAGAAAGGCAGAGAGAACTATGGAGCCAAAGAGAAAACTATTGCTGTTCTTTCAGTGTGAAGGCACCCTAAATTGTAGATGTCCTTCCTGGTCATTCTCTCCTTTGTAGAGTAAGAGAGTTATCAGAATTAGCAGAAATTTATATCTTCATAGATCTCGACTCCTAAGCACCAGTGTTTGTTTTCTAACGTTAGCCTTAATTGTACCTAGATATTAATAGAGATAATTCCCTAGAAGATTTGGCACTGCTCTGCTTTGCTTTCAGTGGATATGAGGTTGATCACTTTTACTGCCTCCATTTAGCACTTGGCTTTATAACTTTTCTTCCTATCCTAAAAGTATCTCCGACAAGTTCATTGACTCATAGCCTAAATGGCTAATGAGTGAAGAGATGGAAACAACAGGAGGACACAAAAGAAAAAATTAGAGAGATTGAACAGACCAATAAAAGAAAAAGAGGAAAGTAGGTGAAAAAGGCAGAGAGAAAGAATGATACAACTACTGGAAAGACAAAGAAAGCCAGAAAATGAGCATGTTTTACATGGAATAAGGAGACTCGTAAAAGCAAGAACAAAGGCAACCAGAAAAAAGTGTTATCAACAGCCCATTGTGTTCTCATCTTCCACACTGTTCATGGTAGACACTGGCACAAAGCTTAATCACTTCCATGCATAAACTCATGCATTCCCAGTCACACAGTTTTCATCCACCTAAGAGAAAAAGTACTGCAGTTCCTCCATTCCCATCATGGCAAGGTCAGTTTCATAATTCCTTGTTCTCTTTCACTCCTACTCTCATCTTAAAATCATCTGTGTATATGCATATCATTAATACATTTTCAAGTGTCCTCCACATTGAGTACTTGGGTTAATCACAGCTACTTACCTATAACTCTGAGCACAGTGCCAGCTCCAAAGGTAAGTAGCCCAGTTACACGGCTGCACGCAGTCAGGTTGTAACTCTCAGTGCTGTTATGATTTTCCTGTCAGACACCTAGTTCCTTAAAATGGTACTGTTTAAAGGAACAGGTACCAGCGTGTATTTCTACAGTTTGCTATCAGATGGGAAAGGTTACTTTGCCCTGTGATTCCAAAATGCCTTGATATATATGATGATAAATTCTTTCCTGGGAGGGGAGAAGGCAGAGACAGCAAATCTGGAAAAGGAGAAGGAAGAGAGGAGAAAAGTGTCCTGAGAGAATCAGAAGCTGTGAAAAGGACTGTTAGCAGATGCCAGTGTCCCAAAGCAATGTTAGGTAGCCTGCCAACCATCTATGGAGAGGTAAGCAAAGTGCCACCAATATTACTCTTTCCCTGCCTAATTCAGCTCACAGGAGAACCCGGACTCTACCTCTGAAACATTGCTTTGGATTGTTACATAGATGAACTGCAAAAACCTGCAGACCGAAGAAGTATTTTTCATTCTCAACCTCTCTAATGTTTTCTTGGAGAATGGCAGAAAACAGAATTATTTATTCCTTTGATGCCCCCAGAAATGAAAGACAAAGGCTACAGACACAAAGATCTCAAAATTTATGCCTGCAAATCCTACACGTCCATAATAGTGTATCTCATTTTAATAAGCAAACAATAAAGCATTAATCCTGTTCTCATGGCCGTATGAAAAATTATTACAGATCATTATTCTGCTTTTAATTAAGACGCTCTTGTACCCTAAACCAGTATCACATATATCACAGAGATCTGACTTCTGACTTACCCATGACTGTGAGTTTTGTCCCACTGCCAAAGTACAGTCTTTCATTATTCACACTGTTTTGCAGCTGCAGAAAAACCTCTCCTCTACTCTCAGTCCTCTTAGACAAACCTGAGGACTAACCCTCCCCTCGTGTGGTACCAGCAAAAGAAGAAACACAAAGTACAACAATCTATGGTCCCTAAAAACAAAGGTCTGTAAGGGAACACCACCACATCTGAGAGTTTAACCAGCTGAGATCAATATCAGAAATACTGCATCCAGAGTCCTTTTGCTTTGGGCTTCGGTGAATCAGTTATCGACACTTTCACCATTTCTTTAGAGGATATTTACCCCTCTAACTAGGTGTAATATTAAAAAATATTTTCCATATGCAGAAAGAATAATTTGCTTATTCTCAACTAAACAGTCTTATTTCCTTAGTTTCCTCATTTTTTTTCAACATCACGAATACCCTTCATTTGTAAAATAAATGCCTTTTTTCTTCACTTGCAAAATACTTTTAATATATAGCACAGGATCCTGGTCCACTCTCCCAATTGTAGCAATTCCTAAACACGCCTCCCTTTCTCCTTCCCAGGAAAGAAGTCTCTGCTTTTATTCTTTCTGTTCTCTTAGTGATGATTATTCAAGTTAGCCGCATAATTGTCTATGGTCAATGAGGGATTGGTGTATTCATTTTCATCAGTTCAGGCACCTCAGATACACATTGGATTTTGAAAAATGATCTGATCACTGAGTTTTTTCCTATGGAAACTGAATTTTATCACTTGTAATCAATTTATTCTGTAGTAGCACAATGTGGTACAAAAGTCTCCAGGAGCAGTACAATGAGAAGAAGAGATCACCATCAGCTATCAGTCTTAGAAGCAACCTTGTTTTCCTCTGGATTGGAGAATCCAAATCCATAAATGTGGCCCAGAAAGAAACATTCCCTGAGAGCTCCTTCTATTTTAAATGAAACATATATTCTGTTTCTGTGGTTTTCAGTGGCTGTTTATAATCTATTCTGAAATAGAAAGACCGTTGTCCTTAATGATCTTTTATCATCACCCTGATGAGCCTGTTTAGTGGAAAGAAACTTGCTGTGCTGTGGAGAGTTACTTTCTATGACAACAAGGAATTAAACAGCTGCAGAGAGCTCTTAGTATTGCTTATTATAAAGTCAAGTATTTATTTGTGCCTTCTGTTTTATCAACCAGAAATGCTAGAACATTTGTTTTTCACAGTTATCTGAGAAAACACATGCTTTAATTTACCCTGAAAAGATCCAAAGTAATTTAAACTTGTATAGTCTTGATTTTGTTTTCTAGAACTGTTCAAAGTGTAACTGTAAGTCAATTCTTTCTAGACAGACAGATAGCTTTTCACTGACTTTTCCTTAGTCATCTGTAGCCCCAGGAGAACTAGCATTACAGATAATAGTTATACTTTTGGGGAAATAAAGATTTTTGAATATGTCGATTTATTAAGGCAATTTTTTTAATGATATGCACACATTTTTTAACCCATTCCTTATCCTAATTCTTTATATTCTTTATATTCTTTACATTCTTTATATTCTTTTTATTCACTGACATGCAATAATTTAGTCATCCAAAATGAAACTTGTGTCCTTACCTAGAGTACTAAACTTAGTCTCTTCTCCAAAGTAGACTGGTTTACCAGCATATCAGGAGTACACCAGTTTAATAATGAAAGGGAGAACAATAATGAAGTTCTCTAAAGAGAAGTGAATTGAAAGAGAAAACAAAAATTTCTTACCTATTACTGTAAGTTTTGTGCCATCGCCAAAAATCATATTACCGTAATTCACAGTGACAAACTGTTGTATCATAAGCTAAGAAAAGGGAAGCACTGCAGTTGAGTTACTATAAGCAGAAACTTAAGTGATCATTAGTGTATTTGGAATTCCAAAGGTCACTTAATCTCTGGCTGAAAGGATTTGACGGAAAATTAAGAAATTGAAAGAGAAAACAAAAATTTCTTACCTATTACTGTAAGTTTTGTGCCATCGCCGAAAAACAATTTATTAGCATTCACAGTGACAAAGCGCTGTATCATAAGCTAAGAAAAGGGATGCACTGCAGTTGACTCACTGTAAGTAGAAGTTTAAGCAATCATTACTTTATTTGAAATCCCAAAGGTCACCCAATTTCTGTCTGAAGGGGTTTGACAGAAAACCATCTTGAAATCTACTGTATAATCTGTAGCATTCATAAAAGCATTTGCCAGAGTTTTTTGATAATTATTGTCTACATTTCACCTCAAGTTGTTTTTGCAGCCTTTCTCAGATCTCCATGTTATGCCATTGATATTACCTGCTATTCTCATTTTGCAGATCTCAAAAACATGCGGATGTACCCAAAGGCTGTCATTAACTAGAAACAGAATTCCTCTACAACCAGAGCTCCCTCACTCTCCATTTTGTGCTCTGAGCATTGTGAAGGCTTCCTTTCTGTGCCTTGTGGAGTTAATAATCAAATAATACTTGTTTTGTGGTTTCCATAGTCAAATGTAGGTGGTTTGCCTTTGGCACTGAACTAAAGCAAATACATTTGTTTTCCCTTCCATGACAGGTCAATCCTCTTGAATAGACTTTCAGGATCCCATTCAATTTTCTCATACGCTAAAATAATCCACGGAAGGGGAGTCCAGAATAATCAGCTGACTGGTCTCAGACAAACCCTTCATACCCATTAGGAAGAACTGATGTGAGACAGCGTGGAGAAGGATTAGATAAAACCTTTGTTCTCACAGGTATTGAGTCAGTCAGTGGACACTGGAGGCTTATTTAAGAGAGAAAACTCCAATACACTTCATACAGCGTCTCTGCTACATGACAGAATTCCTTTTCTAGCACTTGTATCACATTAATAAAGAACCATTTTGTCGTCTATTGCAAACATTGGCGCATCAGAAAAAAGTACTAATTTCTGCTTTGCATACTCTGAAAAGCTTTAGGTGCACCTGCAGTCAATTTGGTTTGCTGAAAATTATTTCAATATCTCAGAATTTCTTAGCTTGCTTCCCAGAAAGGGCAGGCTTAGTTCTCACATGATGAAAGTCCTAGTATACTAGGTCTGTCAAGAAAAACCAAGGCAGAACATGCCCGCTCTGCTGCAGAATTCTCTGCAGCTGCCTCAACACGCTTTTCCACAAGGCACATATAGGTTTTTGTAAAGGCCTCCTGGGGAATGTATCATTGTGTGCCCCTGTCCCCACAACGATACAACCTCGTACAAAAACAATCCCACCCATGACTCCACCCTCCCATTTTTGTCAATCAGTCACCATGAAAGATTGCCATAAGAACCTGTGCTGGTTTTAACTGAGGTGGAGTTAAATTTTTTCATGGTAGCTAGAGTGGGGTTGTGTTTTGGATTTGTGCCGGAAGCACTGTTGATAAGATGGAAATGTTTTTGTTGTTGCTGAGCAGTGCAAACACAAAATTCAAGTCCTTTTCTGCTTCTTATATTGCCACTCTGTCAAGGAGGCTGGGAGTGCATGGGAAGTTGGGAGGAGAGACAGTGGGGACAGCTGACTCCAGCTGATCCAAGGGATATTCCATATCATAGGGTGTCATACTGAGTACATAAAGTGAGGTGGGAGAAGAAGAAGAAGGAAGAGGGGGATGATTGGAGTGATGGCCTTTGTTGTCCCAAGTCATGGTTATGCATGTCCTGGGAATGACTGAACACCTCCTTGTCCATGGGAAGTGGTGAATGAATGCCTTCTTTTATTTTCCTTGTGTGTACGGCTTTTGCTTTACCTATTAAACTCTCTTTATCTCAATCCACGAATTTTTTACTTCTACTCTTCCAATTCTCTTCCTGGTCCTGATGGTGGGGGAGTGAGCAACCAGCTGTGTGGTGCTTAGTTGCTGGCTGGGGTTAAACCATGACAGAACCACAGGCCACATCCTTCCTTTGTCACTGCTGTTTCTGTGTGATAGTCCAATTACCTCTTAGTGTATCCTTTATCCCGAATTTAAAATCCCAACTTTTTTCTTACAATCAAAAAGGTAATACTTTATTTTCTTTTATTGATTTGTTTTAAATGCATTTATTTTTTGCTTGGTAACATCATGACAATGTTCACGCTGCTTTCCTTTCCACTCTTGCTCTTTTCTTGCCCCAGGGAGACAAAGAGACTTCAAGCCCACAATAACTGGTTTGCAATGAGAGTGGTTTGCTTACTACGGGCTGGTGTTTTTGTTTGTAGCCCGGTCTTGATTGAGAGTATCCTCTGTGGTCTGTGCTGCACTTGTCACAGCTGCTCTGAAAGGGAGAGAACTAGGATGCTGAGCTCTTAAACTTGTGTTCCTCTGATTGCCCTTATACAGGTGGCAGAAGCACAAGCTTCTCCCAGGGCCTGTGATTCTTCCTCTGAAAAGGCTTCACCTGGGTGTAAGAGTGAGCCTTAATTTTGCAGACTGTCTGAAGGGTGTGGGAACTGATGGTGACAGTTAACAGGTTACTTTTGTCTCCCTCCCTAACACATAAATGGGCTAATCTTCTCACACAAAACGTTAACACATAGTTGCAGTAAACAGTTGTTCATATTGCTCCTTAATAGCTTCACTTGAGTCTCTCTGGTATAAAAAATAGACTGTAAAGCCTATTTACAGGACACAATCATTCAAAACAAGATTATTCTACTAGGAAAATCACAAATTATTTTCTGATCTTTTCAGATATCACAGAAAAACCCATAATTTCTGATACGGCCTGTTCAGCTGGGAACAGTTGTCAGTGTCCCAGGGAAAGGAACAAAAAACATAGACTAAGCTGAAACATTTAGGACCAAGACATAGGACTATGGAAGGCAAGATATTGGACTAGTCATCTTGGAATGCCCCTTGGTTATTCTCTCTTCTATCACAGGAAAATGGGTGCTTAAGTCACTAATTATGGAAGTGACAAAGGTATTTGTCTGTTTATGTTGAATTCTTATAAAAAATATATTTAGGATTGTATTTGTCTGTCACTGCCTAAATAATAACACTAATAGTGGGATATTATTTGCCTGCCTTGCTCTTAGTCTGCCTCTGATCTCAACACTTTATTCAGGGTCTAAACCCATTGTATTAAAATTAATTTAAGATTATTCTGTCTTCATGTCCAGTCTACTGCTCCATTAGTGTCCTCACTGTCACTAACAGACTCTACCTCATACGTGTCCCTGATTTAAAAAGAAAGAAATCACCTCTCTATTAGTTTTGAAGGAGTATGTGGTGCTAACAGCTCCTCAGGTCATGTTCATTAGGCAATTTCCAAGACATGCCAGCAGAGACCAGCCTTGTCCCACTTTAATGTTCCTCTGTAACCTTCCAAAAGCAAAGGCCTTTCAGGCCATGAATTCAAAAGAGTGAGAGTGAGGAAAGACAGGAAAGACAGTTCCTTGATTTTCATTTCCATGTCTTTCATAAGAGGCTTGTGGGCCATGCTGTGTAAGGCTTCAGACAAAGAAAGACAAGAATATGTAAGAAAGAGACATCTAGGGAGGTACTTTCTAACAGTTTTTCATTTTAGTGGGAGAATTTCACAAGAACACAGTGATTGCATCACTTACACCAGTCTTCAATTCTTTAGAGTTTACAGAAGCAGCAGCTTACAAAGAAGCAGGCCCTACTACAGAGACTACCAGAGATTTACAGACTTCTTTTAGAGACACTAGGAAGATTTTCATAAACAGTCAGGGCTTTTGACCACAAACCCCTAAAGTTAAGCAATGGCCTTTTTTCAGGGCATGTCTGCACTGAGAATATAAGATGGTGAAAGAAGGGATCTGATTAATAGTCTGAATAAATATGATTACAGAGAGTGGGATGAGGAGGAAAGTATATGTTTCACAAGAAACTTATTAGAATAGCTGCTTTTTGTGCAGAGCCACTTCAAGCTGATAAAAGAAGTACTGCATAGGAGGAAATTGTACCTTAGAGCTGGAAGAGGGAACTGTGACCGCAGAACTTCAAGATAGCAATGAACACAGATCTTTGTGGTTTTCTGCTACTGCCTGGAAGTTGCACAGCTGTGACCAGTCAATAGCCAGCTCATTAAACTGCTGTATGTTGAAGGTCACTGATAAATTTGTTATGCCAAGGCCTTAAAACTGCATTTGCCATGCTAAATTAAAAGTGCTCAAGAGTTGAGAAAGGGATCCTTCCTTTGTTACATTACCAGAGTTGAAAAAGTTGGTTTGCAGTGCTTATGAAAAAGGTCTGAGCTAAGACTATAACATGTTTTTCAGGAACTGGTAGTTCAGTAAAAGAGTATTTTAACAAAGGATCTAAAAGAAAAATCACCCCAAAGTCACCACCATAGTGTTTATATTCGTTCATGATTTCAGAATGAACTATTTTCCAAAAAACTTTCACAGGGCATTTGAATCACCAGTAATAATTTCAGACAGCAATAGCGTGAACATGTTTCATACTTGCGTAAAGATCGGAGGCTGAAGAGGATAAGGAGCTCAGTTCGTCTCTGCTATGTGACAGACAACGTGTTCTCAGTGCTTCTTTGCTGTATGTCTGCAGCCTGATATGAACAGTGAGGAGATCGTGGACCTAAGGGTGCTCTGAGGAGCGGACAAGTGCTCCCTGGGAGCAAGGAACCGTGTGTTACATTTGCTGAGCAGCTCCTGAAGTCAGAAGAATATTGACTGCGAGGGTGTGCATGGGGTGGTATATGAAGCTGAGGCTTTCAGAAATGTTTTTGGAGGACTGGAGTAAGTCTGGTATGCAACTAGATTTAACCTCTTCAGAGCCTCCTCTGTGTGTAGGGTGAGACTACAACGAGCATGAGTTTGTCATGGGTCTGGATTTTCTTAGCCAAGAACAGGTTACTTGCTTTCAGAGCAGAGCCTGGAAGCAAAGTAACATTTCTGTAGCATGGTTGATCAGGAGACTAGGATCCTGGTATGAAATTGAGAGATCCATCCTGGCATACAAAAGTCTCCTAGCAGTGCTGGTGAAATGGAGCATGAGGCTGTTTTACAGGACGTGCTCAGATCTGGTTCCAGCTCCTTGCTTTCACCAGCTCTTATCATCTCTCTCTTTTTTTTTTTTTTGCTATAATCACACAATGTGTTTCACTTCAGCATACTCAGCTTTGCCATATCAAGGAGCAGCATAGTAGATTTGCTACCTGTGTTAGTTAAATGCTTGATATGCAATGCCCTCCACAGGAGCATATGAGACAATTGGATTTTTGTCAATGGTGTGCAGATGTCAAAGCCACAGCCTAAAAACAGAAACCTAAAGCACACAAGTGTATAGCCATACTTCCTTAAAAATACCTTTTGCTCTTTCATGTGCCATTTCCCTTCCTTTGAAGAAGAGGAAAGTTCCAGGTTATGCAATAAAAACAGGAGCATGGACAGGGAGTAACAGGTAAGGGAACCCTAATAAAACTCTGCCTTCAGTTTTCCCAGGTCCATTACAGAAGAGCAACTTGTTCATCAGAAGTTTGTCTCTGCAAGCAATGGAGAGAGAAGCGCAATGGAGAGAGAAGCACAGTGGGAGGAAATTTCTGCCTTCAGCTGTTCCTCTCAAGAGGAGCACCACGTGATGGCAGCTTTCTGTGGTTTCTTTCCTCTGCCAATGAGGTTTTGCCATGAACAGATGCCTTGGTCCAGCTCAGAACTGTATGCAAGTAAGGGAGGGATCCTGCACTTAAGCAGTTTGTGAAGCAGGTGAATAAAATGCTGCAGTGTACACTGTTGCTTTTAAAGATGCCAAAGGGCTGTCCCTTCCACAGTGAGAGGTATGCTTGGTCCCCTGGGTACGTTTTCCCCCACTGGCACCGCTGACATCCTCTTATGTCCATAATTAGGGGCTTGGCTCTCCTCCCACATCAGTCAATTTCTGTTTGGGTACCTCAGTTCTGTGTGCATCATCAGTATGTGGAAGGACTTTGAATTCTCCCTCTCTTTTGTACTCTTTCCCTTGTGCTATGGCGGTATCTGTGAGGAACTATTGGCTCAGAACATGAGTGTGCTACTGCAGCACTAATTTTAAGAAATACAGGCCACCTTTCACTAACCACATCAGCAGTGCCTCAATTCTTAATGTTGATCTATAGGTTTGTATTTCTGAAGGCTTTTTGTCTTTGAAGCTAAAGGCTACTGCACTGCTTTGTCTCTCTCCCCTCCAAAGTGTTCTGGGTCTATTTCTCCAACATCTTCTTTGTCTTTTTTTCTACTCTTCCTCTGCCCCTCTCCTAACTGCCTCACATTTTTCAGAGATTCCATCTCTCTCTCAGTCAGGGTGGGGATTTTATCTTAGTGCTCAACCTTCTCTCTGTACCGTGTGATCACTCGCGGCACAGAAATACGTGGCTACATCCTTGGATGTCACATTCTTGATTGTCATCACAGTGTAAGTATACTTTCTGCTTATCTCAAACTTGGCCTCACTATAACCGTCCTCATAAAATTTCTCCCTCAATGAAGTAGTACTGACTATTAACTTCAGACCATTTCTTGGAGGCTGCTGGTACCAGAACATAAAGGCAAGGTAACTGTTTTTCTGGTTGCAGGAGATGTTCACAGTGTCTCCAACTCTCTGAAAGATTTCTTCTGGCTGCTGTGCAATGAAGATGTATCCGATCACAATACCTGTATTAGTGAGAGAGAAAAAGACAAAGTGAGGAGTAGGAGTACAGATGGTAACTAAAAGGGTCCTTTACCTAACAACAGCCTGGCATGGCCTGGATGAGAGCTGTGCTGCAGGTGGATCTGTTGTCTCTTACCAGGTAAAAGAGCAACCAAAACAGTCAGCATGGCCCTTCAGCTGTCCCAGGAAAAAGTGTTCCTGCTCACTGTGAGCCTAGAGTTAAGAGAGACTGATACTCCTCCCCTTCCTTTGATTTTTCTGTCAACCTTGGGCAGAGAAGAGAGAAAGGACTGTCCAACTTTCATACTTTCTTTGGTAAATTATTAAAAGCAAAGCTAAGTATTCATGTGACTCTTAAGTTTTGCTTTAGTGTTTTCACAAGAAATCAGTGTTTTACACACAGATTTAATTCCAGTGATCTTTAGTTATCCTTCACACTTTATTGATATCTCCCCTCCCTGAAGTCTAGAGAGATTTATATCTTCCCTTTACCTCTATTTAATTGTAGAAGAGGCATGTTCTCTCTGTGATCCTGGCAGTACTGTACTTTTTCGGGGCCTAAGGTTGAGTTCCTATCATCACACAAGGATTCAGAGCAGTGTGAATCTCAAAAATTTGGTAGTGAATGTTCCCTGTCTCACTTTTTTAATCCTGCTTTTTTAAGGTGTTAACAGAAATTGCCCAAGAAGCTATAGCTTCTTCCCAGATGGGAAAGAAAATACGTTTTATATCATGTATGAAAGTTTTGTATGATCTCCAGTATCACCGACACTTAGCATCTGTGAAGTAGGGGTTCAACCATTGCTCCTGTGCAGTCCCTGCCAGTTCTTGCCACTGTGGGTTTTCTCAGGATAAATTACCTGTGCTCCAGTGAGACTGAGCCCTGTGCTGGATATATTACAGTTTCAGTGATTTTTTTCAAGGAATTGTAGACCATATAGATTTGTTTTTAATTACCTGCTGTATCTTTTACATTTTTCTTTTAATGTTTATGCTGTTTTCAGAGTCAATACATCAGTTAGCAGATGAAGATTTTTACTTAGAATAACTTTTTTGTCTCAGGAAACAACAGGTGATTGCAGTCTCTCCAAAAGAAGAAAGTATTTGGAGGATACAACTCAGGACCTCTAGTGTGTGTCTCTGGAATTGCCTAACGTTGCTGCTTTCTGAAGAGCAGCAAGATTGACAGCCCTTTTTTTTTTTTTCATTCCCAAACATTTAATTCTTTCTGTCTATTTTCTTTTAAGATTAAAGAAGAAACAAGGGAAAACAAAATGTAGCAAGATAAAGGCAAATATGTTCAGACTTCCCAAGTAAGATGCAGAACTACTGTATTTGAGGAAGAATAAATGCAGGGAAATAGAGAAATACAGTTATGAAAGGGGTCACACAGGTAAGCAGGATGCTGGTGAATATGCTTGTCTGGCTATGCTTTGTACCTGCTTAGCTCAGCGTATCCATGTCTTATTAAGTCCCATTTCTAAGCATTTACTTGAGGGTGGGACTGTCTATTACCACAAGTACCAGCAACTGCAGAGACCAGAGTGAGTGAACTTAAGCACCAGAATCTGGATTAGGGCCACTGACCACTAAGAGGTACCATTTGTTCATCATGCTGGCAGCAGGGGTGAGGGACAGTGTGTGAGTGTGTGATCACTAGTGAACACGAAGCCAGACAATCTGCAAAGTAAGTGAGGTGACCTGGGTTCCAGGTGTATGTCTCTAATGGTAAGAGCAGTGGCAGGTGGAACAGGGAGTCCCAGGCATCTCCTGGAGAGGGGGCTGTGTGGGAGGTTTGTGTGTGCATGTGCATACCAGCAACTGCAGGACTTAGGGGCTCGTGGGTCTGGGTGCTGGCACATGTGGCGACTGGGATCCAGGGGCATCTACTGGACTCAATGTCCAAATATGGAAACCTATGGAAAGTTTGCACATTGTACAAATACGTATGCATCTATTTCCTGCTACTGAATCCTTACCTAGAACCCTTATTTCCCACTATACACCCCAGCCAGAGGGGGATGAAAGATAAGATGATTAGTGCTGATTCTGTTTGTGGGTGGGGTGAGTGCATCTCTGTTGATCTGTGTGTTCAGCTTTGTGTACATGTATATGCTTTGTATATATGTGTGTCTACTCGGGATACACTCTCAGCCTTGCTACTGGCTGGGCCAGGGGACATGGAGCCATGGTAGCCTCCTCTCAGGCCACCATATTCAGCCCAGCCTACCAGTGAACCTCATCTCCTCCTTAATGGAAAAAGAGATCATAGAATAGATGTGACAATGAGGAAAGGGCAGAGGTACCCTGACTGCATGGAAGAGAACCAAAGGAACAAGAAAAAGATTTCTACTGAAGGGTGTTTAATATAAACTGGAAACAGTAAGTACTGGCTTAGCAGGGATCTGTGCTGGATTTGGAAACTAGCGTCATGAAACAGACCATCAAGCAAAGGCTGGCTCTTCTGTTCCAAATGATAGAGAAAAATGCCTGTTGCAATACAAGGAAGGCACTGGCAAGCCATTTTCAGAGATACATATAGGCTTAGTGCTTATGGCCAGGACTAGGACTATATCTGGGTCAATGGTGACTATGAGCATCAGATGTCTCTTTAGTCATAGTGGATTTAAGGCATCACAGGCCAGTTTCTTTCAGTAGCCTCTACCAGTACAGAAAGTTTCTCCAGGGCCAACTCTTTGCAGACAATTCTGAGAGAAATCCTTCCTCTTCAGGCTTGTCATCACAGACCCCTTGCCCAGCCAGACCCATGCTGCTCCTTTCCCACCTCTCATCCCCAACCAATCCATTCTAATTCCATTTCTAATGGAAGCAGCTGTGTCTGCTTGCTTGGTGCAAGTTCCTCTTCCTCATCCATTCTATTTCACTGTGTCAGCTTTGCTGGTTACCACTTCTAAACTTCTTCCCAAGTTTTTCAGACCTTCTGACTTTTAACCTCACCGCCTTTACACTTTTCCTGGTTCTTCTTTGCCTTCCTTTTGTTTCCCAAACTTTCCATCCTGCATTCTTACAGCAAAGAGGCAGCTTCTAGGTTTGGAGATGGTAAAATTGCCCAATAGTGGCCCAGTTCACACAAGCTTGGGGTATGCAGACCATTCAGGGAAGGTTCTTCATGCTGCTCTCTTACAGATCATGTACTGGGTAAAATGGATTTAAGAAATACTTTCAAATCTAATCTCCCCCATCTGCTATGTCCTTTCAGAGCCCTTCCTTTCTGATCCAGCCATTTGCTGAAAATTCCTGGGACACAGTCTGTTTCCTGCCTCAAAGGTGCATGCTTTATGTCCACATTTGGCTCCATGTGGAGAACCCTGTTCTTACGATTTTCCTACCTTCTTCCTGGCACCATGCTCTCTTCTTACTTTGATGTTCCCTTAGTGCCTTTGGCCACAGTCATCTAGTACCCTTTCCTAGTTGTGAGCTTAGACACTCTGAAAGAAGTCATAACTTTCCTTCTTCACAGCCCAAAAAATTATTAAAAACCAGAATTACTGCAGGGTAGCAAAGAAATTAGCGATGACATGAAGGCGATGCAGAAATAGACACTGTTGGACACTGTTACAGAAGAATGTAAGAAACCAAATTTAAGGAATCTGTAGGTATTTGTTGAAAGTAGTAGAACAGTGGTCTCCAAATGTGTTTCACTGTGCACCCCATCAGTAAAATATTTTTAAACAAGCACCTCCAGTACATGTACATTTAGTAGTTGATAATTATATACAGATAACATTAAAGTTTGAATGCACCCTTCCCACACTTCAGTGCATCGTCTTGCTCACCCGCAGGGGTGCATGCTACTTTGAAGACTCCTGCATAGGAACATTGTAAGCCAGCAGCCTTTCTCTGAATATCAATTACAGATGTAAAGACTAGAAGATGCACAGAGTTTCACCACTCTCCTGTCCCCCAGCAACTGAGGAGCTGGTGTTCCTAGGTCTCAGTTGTGCCTTTCCAGAAGCGCCTCACAGGCACAGGACATTTGGGAAAAGAGAGAAGCAATGGTGTCCTCATGACCAAGCTCTGCAAGATGTAAAAGGACTAACCGCAGAAGCTCCTCTGATTTCTGTTCACAGGAAGCTTTATCTCTGTCAGCCCATGGTCTCACCAGGTTTCTCTTTCCCAGGATCTTTCATCAGCCTGGACAAATGGATTTCCTTTATCTGAGTCCAGTGTTGACACAGCTGACTGAAATACTTGAAGTAGGAAGATGGAGTTCTAGAAATGCAAGCTGCCATTGCTTGTCCATTGATAATACCTAGTACAGTTGCCCTCAATATACCAATCCTCCTCCTTCCTGTGCCCCTGAAGCCACCAGCTTTCTGTGGCAGCATCACTGCATGAACCAAGAGATTCATTTGCAGCAGCAGATGTACAACCTTGAGTGTATTTTTTTGAAGACCCTATAAAAAACTTACAATATGGAATGTTTAGCAGTGTATCTGATTACAGCCTGTCTTAATGCCAATGGCATGTTTAGGATAAAGAAATTATAAATCCACAGAGATCAGACTGTACATTCTTGTAGACTAGAAATTCTTCTTGTTCTGCTTAACCATGATGGCATTGGATAGCTTTGGTAATCTTTCCACAAATAGGGCTATTATGGACCTTTTGCTTTTCCACAGGAAGCTTCTAATCCTTACTTCTTTCCCAAAATAAAACATGCTTCTAAGAAAGCTAGGCAGTGATACCAGTTTAAAGGTCAACAAAATCCATGCAGCCCCTTAGAAAAGTCGCTGGCCTTGGACATGTGCTTTAGCCTAAAGGAAAACTTCATCTGGACAGTGCCACTTTGGGTGTCAGTCCTCCAGGGCTCTCAAAACATGGATCATGGAATGGAGTAGAAAGAGTATTCCTATCTAGTCTCTCCTGCTATTCAAGCATCTCAAAAAATACAGTTTCTGTTTAATGTCTCTTGAGAGTATCCCACATCTTTCAGGAGGTAACATGATGAAGTTGGCACCTGTCTAGAAAATGAAAAGGATTTTTCATCAAATGCTTTAATCTTTAACAAACTTTGCATCATGACAGAAATCCTCCACCTTCCCAAGAAGGATTTCAGAAGAGCTCGCACTTGTGTTCCCAGTATTATTTTTCATATACATTACATTCATAAACATGAGCATGACCCTGAAAATCTTCTGTGGCAAAAATGAGCCTCTGTAGAACACTCCAAAGATGAATAAAAAGAAGGCCTTGGTATATTGGTCAGTATTTTCTTAGAGATTAGGAGAGAGAAATTAGGAAAGGGAAAAGGTGAGCATTCCCATACTTGAAGTATATAACTTGGGAAGTGGTGGATGACACAAAATAGTTTTCGTCATACTCCCTTTGGAAATTACTTGTGAGGAACTTTATTTAGGAAATCACTGTTTTCTATAGGGCAAAACACACAGACACTATTCAGGGAAAGGGATAAACTTAACAAAGTTAACCAGTGGTTTGTTGGCTTTCCCCCATCTCCCCAAATAAATGCATTGTATCTTTCTGTCCACTACCTACAATATTCAGCTTCTGGTGAAAATATGCATTTATAAGAAAGACATCATCAGCACAGAGGAATCTCAAAGGGGTTTGAGACTTCTTCTCAACAGGTGCTGAGTTTAAGAATGAGGCAGACAAACAACTAGGCATCTGCCAAAGGCAAAATGTATTTTTAAATTGAAGGCTGCCCTCTGGAATAATTGAAAATAGCTCTCTGTCTTCAGAGAGGTTTATGATTAACAGATCTATTATTTGTACTTTCTACTAGGGCCTGTTAATGCCCACGTTTGGATCTTCAGATTTTCCACTGTGTACTTTTTGTCTGGAGAAAACCTTGGACTAGAGATAAGGCCATATCCAAAAATGTATTTCTAGCAGCTCCTGCTTCCAGTCAGCCTGTCTGGGCTTGAGGCTGAATCAAGACCATGAAGTGCCTGCTCTTTCTCGCCTTTGTTGGGGCGGCTGGTGAGTATATTTTTTACTTGTATTTCTTTAATGTAAAAGGAAGCTGATTTTCTGAGCAAAATCGCAAGGTAGCTTGTTGTGGGAAAGCCACACCTCATTTTAACTTGCAGAAGTTTCAAGGCAGAGTCCTGCAACTTCTGTCTTCTGTTTGCAATTGCTTGTGTCAAAACATGGGGAATGAACACCTTCATAGGGGTTCCTGACCCAGCAACACAGGAACGTGTCCGTAGCTCAAGAAAAAGACTCCCTCTCTCTTAAGAAACACACAGATAACAGTTCTGGCCCAGGAAGCCCTAAAGCAGCTGTAAAATTTCAGACTCTAGGCGGGCGCTTGCTCCAAGGAAATGGCACCGCGGACTTGTTTTGTGCTTTTGTGTTCAGTCCTCTCTTGACCATTTCTGCAGACAGGATCCTGGGGAAGACACACCTTTCCTCCGATCCATCAAGCAAATTTCTATGTTCTTCTGTTCACTCAGGGAGTAGCTGGACATGCTTTAGTTGTGGACTTGTGAGACACCAGACTAAGCCTGATCACCTTATTGGAGGGTGCAGCAAGTGAATGTCCATTGCACTTGCTCACCACTGCTACCCTGAGTTTTATAGAAGCGCAACATACAAGTGGGGTGCACAAGGTACCTTAGGCCAGGTGTTGACATGTGGCACTTCTTATCTCCCAGTTGCCTTCCCCACCATCGCTGAGGATGATGATGACAAGATCGTGGGAGGCTACACCTGTGCACAGAACTCTGTTCCCTATCAGGTGTCCCTGAATTCTGGATATCACTTCTGTGGAGGTTCCCTCATCAGCAGCCAGTGGGTCCTGTCAGCTGCTCACTGCTACAAATAGTGAGTGGAAAAATTTATGTTCTTCTCCAACTGACTTCTGTCTTCCAGCTCACTTCTAGCAGGAATTCAGAAGTATGAGATACAAATAGGGAAGTGGCCCTCTTCTGACCTGACACAGCCAAGGGATGGGTGGCTCCTTCAGGCAGGCGGGCTGAGACACCCAAAAGGGTTTTTTCCTTCTGCAAATGTTTCTGTCAACGCAGAGCACTTTCTGAAATGACAATTTCAGAATAATTGAGAAACGAGTTAGAGGTTATGATTTCTTGTCCGTTCCACGAATCCACCTAAAGCAGGGTCACTGCAGAACAGGAATAGGAATGAGGTCAGGCTGATGGTGGTTTGCCTTTTTCCAGAATGTTTCTACAAATCACTGCAATATATTCCTGCCATCTATACATAACCTTACAGAAATCCACCACCCCTACTGGCAGTGGGTAAAGATCTCAGTGTGGATTCCCTCGGCTTATGCAGGACAAGAAAGATAACTCACCCAAAAGAGCTACTGGGGCAGCGATGTTGAAGCAAGGGCATCAAGTGACAGAGAGGTTTCTCTCAAGCTGTATAAGGGTAGCAGAAAAGTACATGTCGTTCCTTCTCTTTTTCGCAGTCGCATCCAAGTGCAGCTCGGGAAACATAACCTGGCCCTGACAGAATCAACACAGCAGTTTATTAACTCGGCTAAAGTCATCCGCCACTCTGGCTACAGCGCCTATACCCTGAACAATGACATCATGCTCATCAAGCTTGCCACCCCAGCCCAGCTCAGCAAATCTATCCAAACGGTTGCTCTGCCCAGCAGCTGTGTGGCCGCCGGCACCACTTGCCTGATCTCCGGCTGGGGCAACACACTCAGCAATGGCAGTGAGTACTCTGGGGGAATGTACAGCCCCCTGGGGGCCTGGGAGACTCTCAAAGACCTCACCATTAACTCCAAACAGGGCAGGGTAAAGCACAGAGAAGTGCTGTGCAACAGGGCTTTTGGAGTGATGGGTCAGGGAAGGACAGTAACCGTTTGACTGCAGTGATGCCAAGCCTTTGCAAGGTCCTTCCTCTCATTCTGTGTTATGAACACAGGATCACTGAAGCCACCCATGCACTGTTTACCAGCACGTTCACAGAGCCATTAATTTTGTGGCCTGGTGCTCTCAGCTGTGCCATGCCAAGCACTAGCAATGTAACTATTGTCAACAGAGTTGTCAGTTCTCTGAGAACAAGGGCAAAGTCCGGGACTGTGGATCTACAATTCCTCCTAGACACTTTCTCTCTCTTACATCGGTGGATAGTGACTGATATCTAATCCACTGATGACATCTAAACCTGCATCAGAGGAGAGGATCGTTGTCCTGAGGCTCAGGCTGCTTCCACCGTATGTGCCACAAGAGTGGCTCCACAGTTGCCAACTGATGATTTTCTAGGTACCAGAGAAATTAAGGTGGCTGCAGTGTAGAATGGTGGGCCCATGGGTAGAGTCTGTTCCATCTAAACAGAAGGAATCCATGCTGTGGTTACTGTTCAGATGAAGAAGGACAACTGCTGGAATAGGATGTCCAGTGACTACTTGCCTGTTAAAATAGAACTTCTCTGGGCCATGAAAGGAACTCAGCCATGTCATCAGCCATCTCTCCTTGTTTTCTTGTAGATAACTATCCAGATGAGCTGCAGTGCCTGCAGGCTCCGGTGCTCTCTGCCACTAACTGCCAGAACGCCTACCCTGGTCAGATTACAGACAACATGATGTGTGTAGGATTCCTGGAGGGAGGAAAAGATTCCTGCCAGGTAAATCCTCTGCCTCTCCTCTCCCATTTGCTTCTCTCCTGCCTTTTCCCAGCCAAAGAAGCCTTCATGTCACACAATCAGCTCTACTCCCTGCCCTGGCACATCTGAATTTTTGAATGACAGCAGAGGTTTAGGGCACACATATCCTAAGCATCTGACAAGGACGACATCCAGTAAAAGCAGGCAGCTTCTTCATCCTTAGCTGTGGTGCCCCTGAAGCCCAAGTCAGGCATGCTAGCATCAAGGGAAGAGTGCTCATCAGAAATGTAGAACTACATTCTACCTTTGCAGAATTTCTGTGTAGAGTAAGCCTGACAGAGGTTCCTGAAATGTCAGGGATTTCAGGGATCTCTGACTCATTGCTCAGGCTGATGCCATTTGCTGACTGTCCATATCCTTTGTGTGCACAGGGAGATTCCGGCGGTCCCGTGGTCTGCAACGGAGAGCTCCAGGGCATTGTTTCCTGGGGCATTGGATGTGCCCAGAAAGGCTACCCTGGAGTTTACACCAAGGTTTGCAATTACGTCTCCTGGATCCAATCCACTATCGCCGCCAACTGAGACCCTCTCACTCAATGTGACCTGCCTTTTCTCATCATCCTTTTCTCTCTTTTGGGTCTGGACATACAAACACCATGAAAAATTAATAAAGACTTTCAGGCACCCCTACTTTGTGCACTATTTCTCTGGGAACTTCCCTAGGCCGCGATAAGGAGGACAGAGGCAGT